AGTGGCTGGTGGGTTTGAACCGCCAGCCGTCTGGTTAGCAGGCAAGTGTCTTAGCCACTATGCTACCAGAGCTTTGCTTTATTAAATGTGTTTGTGTCTTTCCAGTCATCATTATTTTCAATCCTTACTAACACTCTGCCATACAAGTAACCACCATTTATTTACTTGATGTCTTTTTTGTAATTTTTATTATTTAAGATTTTAAGCAAACATGAAAGCAGAAAAGAATAGTAGAGTGAACCAGTACATATCTCCCAACTCAGCTTCAACAATTACACACTCCTGCCCAGCTTGGTTTTCCTCTGATTTACATAATATGGCTTCTGGTTTGTATCTATTTTCTGAAGTGTGTTCATGTTTGGGGAACATTATTCTGCTCCTTCTTTTTTCTTATAATAATTTTCTATGGAATTTGGCCATGACCCATTCCCAATGCTTATTTAATATGAAATTGATTTCCTAAACATTCAGGAAGGAGGAGCAGGTCAGGAGAGCTTTTACAGAGATATTCTCAGTTGTTTTCATGAAATATCAAAAATATGGCCAAGAGCTTAGTTTTTCTGGCTGTGTTCTACTTCTCAGTATGTGTTTATCTGGACTTTCTCTTCCCCTTCCCACTCTGGTCCCTATTCTGCTCAATGTAGATTCTACCCTCAACAATTAATTTCCAGTTTTAAGGTTCATCTTGGAAGACAGTGTCAGCTGGTTGCTTTAAAAGTTCATAGTATTGAAATGGCTCAAGCTCTCTCTGGGTATTGCAAACAGTTAATGTGCCTGGTCACTAACCAAAAGGTTTGAGATTAGGGTCTACCTAGAGGCACCACAGATAAAAGGCCTGGTGGTCTACTTCTGAAAAATCAGCCATTGAAAATTATTTGGAGCACAGTTCTACTGTGACACATGGGGTCATCATGAATTGAATTCAATGCAACAGCAACTGGTTTTTGGTTTTTAGAGGGTTCAAACCCCTTCAAAACATGGTGTGGTCCCTGTAGTCACCCTCAAATTGGGGTGTACAAAAGACCCTCCCGAATTAGCTGCTTTTCTCAAATGGAGCCTTCACAGCCTCCTAGGTGGTCTTCTTGGCAATCACGGGATTCGTCTGTTCTCGAACTTCTTAGACACTCATAGCTGTCCTGTGTTTCCTCCAGTGCAGATCATGTTGCTGTTTGTCCTCACTGCTCAAATGCTGGGGTTTGTAAGGATACAATGTCATATCTGTCATTCATGTTGTCCAGGGATTTGGGGTTTTGCTATCTAGTTTCTCTGTGCATTTATATTGGACAATTTAAGAAGATTCAAAATTTACACTAGCACCTTCATAATTCATCCTGATTGATTTCATTTAATAATTTATTTTGTTGTTGTTGTTTTTGACAACATACACAACAGGACATACACAAATTTAACAATTTCTACCCATACAATTCATTGACGTTTTGTGTGCCATTCCTTCCTCACTAACATAAAAGTTTAGGCATGCTGTCTAAACTTCCTATCTAATATTTATAATTGCTGCTGTCAATTTGATACCATATAGGTAAGAATTGAAAAGACCACAATGTTCAAGGTAGACTTTCTTTACTAATTGTTCTGGTTACCTAGTGCCACTCTGACAAGAATATACCACAAATGGGATGCTTGAACAAACAGGAGTTTATTCTCTTACAGTTTGGAGGCTTTAAGTCCAAGTTCAAAGTGCCAGGCTTTAGGGGCTGGGTAAAAGCCCCTCAGCCTTGGGCTTCAGCTCTGCCTTCTGCTTCCAGCCCACTGGAGCTAGAGACTTTTCTTTACTCAGACAGCTATTGGCTGCTGAGACTGACAAGGCCAAGGTTGACAAAAAGGCACAATCCTGATGTTACCAAACCAGGTATTTTAATGGCAGGCTATTAATTCAACTCTATTGAAAGTCCCAAGGTTGGCAGAGCATGGAAGGCTGCTGAACAATGACACAGCTACATGCTGGGTTCAAGCATGCCATAAGCTAGAGACCATTCCCAAAGCTGTGCTTATATACGAGAAACAGACCACATCCCTAGAGCAGCTACTCAGCTGCTTGTGGTAGGTCCCACTATGGAGCTGATTGCCAGTCTCATCATGGAGAATAACTACCACCAGCTGACCAGCCATTCAACCAGGCCCAGACAAGTTGACACACAAACTTAATAACTACCCTAGTTAAGCTAAACTGTTTGCTTTTAAGAAGACTTCAGGGGATATTTTTGGCATAAGGTTTAAAAATTACTTTAGGGTAATAATTTCAGGGGTTCATACAGTCTCCATGGCTCCAGAAATGCTGGATCCCATAAGAATTTAAAATTCTGTTCTGTAATTTCCTCCTTTTTATCAGGACTGCTCTATAGAAACTTTGATCAAAATGTTCAATAATGATGGTAGCCAGGCACCATTCAGTTCTTCTAGTCTCATGGCCAAGGGGTCCATTGTTTATTGAAGCAATTGCCTCATGTTCCATTTCCTCTTCCTATTACTTACTCTTCTTGTTCCTCTGTGAATAAAAACCAATTGTTATACCCTGGATGATTGCTTGTAAGCTTTTAAGACCTTGGCACTACACCTTGGCACTACACAGTGAAAATCCCTCCAAATCAAGAGTCAAGAACTATTTGCTGGAGTTATTAGTAGATATCAGCATGATGGACACAGTTGAAAATACCTGGTCAGTTGTATCAGAGACTAGATATGTGTGATTAAGACAGCTCCTAATTACTTTTAGCCATGGTCTTATAATTCCCCCAAAATTACTGGATGAGACTATGAAGATAAAATGTGTGCAATCCTTGTAGGGGATTTTTCAATTTTGCCATTCCCATTAGGCTTAAAGGGAGTCAATCCCACAGGCTGGAAGAGGACCTTACTATCATTAACACCATAACTGTGAATATGATCTGTGAGTTGCGTGGCCACTGCAATGAATTTTCAAACCCAGAACTGTGATAAAATAAATTTCTGTTCATTAAAGCCATGCACTTCTGATATCTCTGTTATAGCAACTCTAGATAACTAAGACAATGATTAAAGAATCAGTTCACCAAAAAGAGATAACAGTGGAGGAGTGTGTGGCAGAGAGGAATCACTCTTTAAACAGTAGACATTTGTTACTTTTGATGATGGGAAAGGTGATACTTAATGTGGGTGAGGTATACAGAACTTGACCAAAGTAAATGATGACACTAATAAATGCTGTAACATATACAATTTTGCAATAATAGCAGTAACAACCAAAAAATATATGAGTGGTTGCACAATTAGTTATATATGCATATATGTGTATAAGAAAGTATATGTGTGCATGTATAGGTATATCTGTAGGCATGTGTACATACATGTTTGTGTACTATATATAATTTACATAGATAATAAAGCTCAAAGGGGATAGAGTCACAGATAAAACCAAATAGAATTGGTGTACTGAGTTTGAAGTCTTAGTAGCATAGTGTTATGGGACAACTCAAACAATTGGCACAATATAGTCAATAAAGTTTATGCTCCACCTCCTGGTTTGGTAGGTAGTATTGTTGTTACATGCTGTCAAGTTGGCTCCAACTCATATGTACAACAGAAGGAAACACTGCCTGGTCCTGTGCCAGCCTCACAATCCTTGCTATACTTGAGCCCATCGATGCAGCCACTGTGTCAATCCATCTCATTGAGGGCCTTTTGCTTTTTTGCTGACCCTCTATTACGTGATATCTTCTCCAGGGAATGATCCCTTCTGACAGCATAACCAAAGTCTGGCCATTCTCATTTACAAGGAGCATTCTGGCTGCATTTCTTCCAGGCCAGATTTGTTAGTTCTTTTGGCAATCCATGGTACTTTCATTATTCTTCACCAATACCACAACTCAAAAGCATTAACTCTTTGGTATTCCTTGTTCATTGTCCAGTTTTCACATGTATATGAGGCAACTGAAAATACCATGGCTTGGGTTAGGCACACTTTAGTCTTCAAGGGGACATCTTTGCTCTTCAGCACTTGAAAGAGGTCTTTTGCAGCTGATTTGCCCAATGCAAATACATCGTCTGATGTCTTGACTGCTGCTTCCATTGGTGTTGATTGTGGAACCAAGTAATAAGTAGCCTTGAGAGTCTTAAAATCTTGTGAGCAGCCATCAAAGTTAAAATTATTGGTTTCTACTTGTCCAGAGCAAAAGACAAAGAAGAAAAACAAAGACTCAAAGAAGAAATTAATCTACAGGACAAACCATGGCCTCATCTATCCTGAGACCAGAAGAACTAAAGGGTGCCTGGCTACCATCAACTATTCTGACCAGGGACACAATAGATTGTACCACATAAAATGGAAGAAAATTGTAGAACAAAGCTCAAATTCTTGGGGAAAAAAAAATGCCAGATTTACTTATTTCACTCAGTATAAAGTCCTCCAAGCTCATCCATGTTATGTAGTGTTTCACAGTTTCTACATTACTCTTTAATGTTCCATAGTATTCCACTGTGTGTATGTACCATAGTTTGGTTATCCCTTCTTCTGTTGATGCTGAGTGAAATAAGTCCATCACAGAAGGGCAAACATTGTATTAGTCCACTACTGTAAAAAGTCAAGGGAATGTTGATATATGAAAAGAAACTTTCTTTGTGGATTATCAAGGAGGGGAGGGAAAATTGTTAGATAGGTAAAAGATAAGTATTAATCTGGGTGAAGGAAAAAGCAAAATACCAAAAGCAAGTGACCAACACAATAACATTAGGGAAAAGACACAGAGAGATGCACAAGAGGTACAGAAAACGAAGATAAATAATTTTACATATACAATACTGCATTTTCAGTAATAATAAACATTAATATATGTGTGGATACAAAGGTAGACAGGTTGAATGATCAGGTAAGTCTAGGCAAAAGGGAATATGACCAGAGCAAGTTTGGCAGATGATATTTCTACATATGTATTTGTATGTGCTATAAGAATGCCCATATAAATAGAACTAACAGGGGGCAAAGTTATGATAACTTCTTAATCACAGCTAATCACCCTGAGGGAGTGAGCTGTTGGACCTGTGGGCTTGGGACCATGGTCACAGGGGACATCAAGCTCAAATGGTATAGGATACTACACAAAAACATTGTTCTACATCCTACTTTGGGGAGTAATGACTAAGGTCTTAAAAGCTTACAAACCCCCATCTAGATGCAACAATTGATCTGTTCTCATCCAGAATAAAGAATGAAGAAAAACAAAGACTCATGGAAACAATTAATCCGGGGGACTAGTGGACCCTGTGAACGTCAGCCTATTTATGACCATGAGACCAGAAGAACTAGATGGTGCCTGACTACCACTGTCGACCACTTGGAAAGGGATCAGTGCAGAGAATCTTTGATAGAGGGGGAGAACAATGTGGAACAAAACTCAAAATCATAAAAGAGACCAGGCTTACTGGTCTGATAGAAATTGGTGAAACCCCCAAGACTATGGCTCATAGTCACCCTTCAGGCCTGGAATTGAATGCACTCCCCTGGCTTCCAGCCAAACAGTAGGGAAGCATATAAGGTGAACATTTACACCAGATGGGTACACTCCTTAGGGCAATCAATCAGGGGAGATGAGAAGCGCAGTATTTGCACAGAGAGAGAGCTCAGAGAGTAGGAATACATAGGAAAGAAGGACACAGGGATAAGGTAAACACAGGGAGGAGGTGGGAAGTAAGCTGTTACATTATGGGGATTGCAATCAACGCCATGAAACAAAATGTGTATGAACTGCTGTATGGAAAATGAATTTGCTCTGTAAACTTTCACCCAATTACAATTTAAAAAATTTTAAAAAGTCAGATTTACTGGACTAGCTGAGAATATAAGAACTCCTGAGACTATCGTCCCTTTAAACTTTGAACTGAAACCACTCCTGGAGGTCACCTTTCAGCTAAACACATAACAGATTGGCTCATATAATAATATCACCTGTGAGTACTGTGCTTCTTTAAGGAAAAAAAAAATCTGTAAACCATATGGTCAACATTTATCCTAGAGCAAAGATGAGAAGGTTGGGAAGGGGTGTGTAGGCACGCTAGATTAATGGAAACGGAACAACCAGAACAGACGCAATGAGTATATTGACACAATGTGGAAAATGTAACCAAAGTCACTGGACATTATGTATAAAAATTGCTAAATGGGAACCTAATTTGCTGCGTAAACTTTCACCAAAATCACAATAAAATATAAAAATAAAATTATATAAGCCAAAATGGGAGTTTCCAGAGATAAAAGGCCTACTGCTTTTCTATTCCTGGTCCCTGGAGACAGATTGTGATAATGAGTTGGACCAAAAAAAAAAAAAGCTTCTTTTCACACTCTGGTAGCATAGTGCCTAAGGCACTGGACTGCAAACCAGAAGGCTGGTGGTTCAAACCCACCAGCCACTCCTCGGAAGGAAGGTTGGGCAATCTACTTCTGTAGTGATACCGCCTCGGAAACCCAAGGAGGGGTCACCATGAGTTGGGTCCAACTCAATGGCAAACAACAACAACAACATTAATAAGCTTTCTGAAACAAACTCAAGGCAGAAACACTTTATGCCAAATTCCACAGTATATTGGATCTGCTGCACAGAGAGTCCACTCCTGGCTTGGAGCAGTCCTTCTCTATTCAGGGCTCTGCCAGAGGAAGAGGGCCCTTTCCAGACCTTACCTATGCCACCAGAAGTGCCAATGCGGATGATGGTGACATTGGAACACCTAGCGTAGTACAGCAGCTTGATGAGCTCATGTAGCATGATTGCGATGGAAGGGATGCCCATGCCATGCTGAAACCAAAAGAGATAAGAAGCATTACAACTGGATCCTGCCTTTGTGCTATCCTCATTGGCTTTTTATATGGTTAACTAGTTTCAATCAAGTCAACTGCGACTCATGGCAACCCCACGTGTGTCAGAATAGAACTATGCTCCATTGGGTTTTCAATGAGTAGTTTTTCAAAAGTAGATCAGGCCTTTTTTTCTAAGGTGCCTCTGAGTAAACTCAAACCTCCAACTATTCAGTTAGCAGCTGAGTACATTAACAATTTGTACCACCCAGGGACTCCTTATGTGGAATATTTCAGTTTAACTGCCCATCATGGTGGAAATGGAAAATGAACTTCAAAATGTAAATTTAAAACGTATTGGTGTAGTGAATAAGGGACTTGACTGTTAACACAAAGGTCAGCAGTTCAAACCCACCAGCTACTCCACAGAAGGAAGACTGAGCCATCTATTTCTATCAAGATTTACAGCCTCAGAAACCCAATGAAAAAAACTCGATGGCAGTGAGTTTAGTTTTTTAGTTTTTTAACATTTTAGGAGACTGAAAAGCATTACACACTAGATCCACACAGCCTATGGAATGAGGAGCAGCCAAGGAGATGGAGGTTCAGCAAGTAAGCTATGTAACAATGTAACAATCGCCTTGCTGAGTTTAAACCTCTTGCTCTCAAGTCAGTTCCTTCTCATAAAAGAAAGTTGAACTGCCCTATAGGGTTTTCAAGGCTGTAATCTTTACAGAAGCATACTACAACATCTCTCTCCCATGGGGTGGCTGATAGTTTCAAACCACTGACCTTCCCATTAGCAGCTCAGCACTTAACTACTGCATCACCAGGTCTCCTGCTGGTGTTTAAAGTACTGCACAAATGTCCACCAGCCATCTGTTACAGTCTTATTTCTTGAGTTTTCTCCCCACACTCTGTGCTGCAACCAAACTAAGTAACTTGGTGGTCCCTTAGCCTACCCAGTGCTTCCTGGCTCTGAATTGCATGTGTCAACACCTACTGGGAGTCTTCCCAGCCCACCCTCTTCCTCCTTGCCCTTCATTAAAGGCCTTCTCCATGCTACACCTTTCACAAAGCCCCTCTCTGGAATCATGTCTGCACTTCTCATGTGCTATTTATCATAATTTTCTTGTTTATGTATTAGAGTTGTGTGAGTTGGAGAATTTGTTTGCCACAAAGTCTTGTACTTTGGAAATTATTTCACACATTCTGTAACCAATGTCCTGGCTCTTTTTTTTTTCTTCTTCTTTTTAATTTTTATTGTGATTTGGGTGAAAATTTACAGAGCAATTTCATTTACCATGTACCAATTTAAACACATTTTGTCTCATGACATTGATTGCAATTTCCCACAATGTAACAGCTCTCTTCCCATTTCCTCCCCATAATTACCTCTTCCCTGTGTCTTTCCCTCCCATGCACTCCTGCCCCACCCCACCCCACCCTGCCAAGCTGTCTCCCTGTGAATACATTTCCCTTCTGTTCTCCCACAATTGATCTCTCCAAGGAGTATTATCTACCTGATGTAAATAAATGTTCAGCCCATACGCGGGTCTTTTATTTGGCTGGAAGCCACAGGAGTTCAATTCCAGACCTGAAGAGCAGGTAGGGGCCACAGTCTCAGGGTTTCACCAGGCTCCATCAGACCAGCAAGCCTGGTCTTTATTTATTTATAATTTTGAGTTTTGTTTCACTTTGTTCTCCCACTCTATCTAGGATCTCCTACACAGATCCCCCTCCTACTGGTTGACAGTGGTAGCGGGGCACCACCTAATTCTTCTGGCCTCATGGTCATATAGGCTGAGAATCACATGGTCTACCAGTCCCTGGGACTGTTTCCATACATCTTTGGTTTCCCTCATTCTTCTTTGCTCTGGACAAGGAGAGACCCATTGTTTCATCTAGATGGCTGTTTGCAAGCTTTTAAGATCCCGGTCGTTACTCACAAAAGTAGGATGTGGAACAATGTTTTTGTGTAATATGTTATGCCAATTGAGCTTGATGTCCCTTGGGACCACGGTCCTGAGTGTCCTGGCTCTTCTTGAGCGAGGCTCTTCTTAAGGCCCTGATCCAAGCAGGGTTCCCAAGCCCTGTGTGGGCTCCTTCCCTGCACCCAGAGACCTCACACTATCAGCCACTGTGTATACTTGTTGTTTGTCTCTCCTGGTGACTGAGCTCTGAGGGCAGAAGCCTGGATCCCACTTATCTTTGCATTCCAGGGGCCAGCTCATCTTGCTCCTGACCTGATACAATTAACAGGTATTGAAGGGAGGGCTTTTCCATACTGAAGTGTGTATGTGTGTATAGGGTGAAATACAGAGGAGTTTACAAAACCTGAAGCTCAAACCCATCACAAAGGGAGGGGTACTCACACTGACACTTAGCACTGGTCCTACTTTATACATGGCAAAGCGGTCAGTTCCAGCACAGATGTTGGGATAGTCCACACCTGGTCGTTCAAGGCCCAGCTCCTGAGCCACATAGCTGGTGAAGTCTTTCATCCGGGAGGCACTTCCACCAACACACACAAACTGCCAGACAGAGACTTCATTAACACAGGCACAGCCCACCTAGGTAGGAACATGCTAATAGTGCAAGTTCTTTGGCCCCACTGGTGATTCTGATGCACACTCAGGCTTGAAAATTCTGCTTGTTGGAATCACTGCTCAGTATAGGGAGCATGGGCAATGTAAGGCATTCAGCTACACAAAACATTGGAAGACCAAACTTTTATCCTCTCTTTGACAAAATAAATCCAGGTTCTATGCACACTCAGCTGCCCTCCATCACTGGGAACAACAGCATTGTGTACTGGAAAAAGTCTGGGTTTTGAGTGAGGTGGTATGGGCTCCACTCCAGTCCTACCTCCTACTAGGCATGTAACCAGGGTGCCCATAGCCCATGTACAAAATGGGATAATCACACCAGTTCCAACACCTACCAGCTATGTGATCAGGGCCCCCACAGCCCATATGCAAACTTTAGGTAATAACAGGTACCTCTCAACCTAGGTGTCTAAGAGTCAAAAAATAATTATAATAATGAATAAATAACAATAATTGTGGGATAAACTTAATGAGTAGAATACAGAATTAATGAATTAAGAGCACATGCATGGAAACTTATCTTACCCTTTAAAACCAATGCAGTCAAAAGAGACAAAGGCTGATGGGGCATGCCTCTATCATTATGATTCCGCATAACAGCAATGGATTCTAGTGTCCCTGATTTAATCTGATTTTTAACACTAAATATTAGTCCATCTTTGCCCACATTGATTAGACTTTTTAGAAAAAAATGAGAGGGGTAAAATATACATAACTAAATTTGCCATTGTAACAATTTTTAAGTGTATAATTCATGCCATTAACTTACATTCACCATGTTGTTCAACCATCACCAATATCTACTTCCAAAATATTTTCATCAACCCAAACAGAAACTCAGTACCAATTAAGTAATAAATAACCCCCAGGGAGTAGAGAGCTTAAGAGTCCTGTGTTAGAATAAACCAGAATGGAGGAATTTAAGATAGTATAAGAAATATAGACTTGATGCTAGATTCAGCAGAATAAAGACAATTAATGGAGTATATCAATACACAAAATAAATTATAAGTGACAGTCATGATGCAATATCTCTTATATTCGTAGCTTCCTTAGAACATGTTTTAGATTTCCCTCTTTTATTCTGTCACGCATATGGAAGTTTATTTTATTGTTCCAGTTACATGATAAAGTTGTAATGGATTAATTAGCAATCAATACAGCAGTACTTAGAATAGCTATCTTTTTCTTACTAGTTCATATACTTCAAAAGCAACAATTTGCAAAAGGTTGAAAAACATATAACTTTTTATGAACTTGTCACCTGTCATCTCTCAACCATCTGAAATGATAATATCACATAAGAGGAGGCTGATCTTAAGACAAATTCCTAGAATTAAAAGCCTTGCTTTTTACCTTCACATCTCCAAACATAGCTGGGAAATCATGTGTACTGGTGCTGAGACTGAAATGGTATAAAACATCTTCTTTCATTGTTGCTATGTTTGGATTTGAAAGTCGAATGGAGCAGTCACTGTTAAAAAACAAAAAAGCAAAAGTTTATAGAACACCAGTGTCCAATGCCACTACTCATCTATTACTTTGTTGTACTCTAGTGGTTTGCATGTTGTTGTGATGCTGGAAGTGGTGTCACTGGTATTTCAAATACCAGCAAGATCACCCATGGTGGACAAGTTTCAGCAGAGCATCCAGACTAAGGCAGAGTAGGAAGGAGGACATGGCAATCTACTTGCAAAAAAACTGGCCTGTGAAAACCTTATTAATAGCAATAGAATATTGTCTGATATACTATATTGTCAGTAGCTGACTCCATTACATTGGAAGACATACAAAATATGACTGCAGAAGGAAAGCTTCTTCAAACTAGAATTGACTTTAATGATATGGAAGAAGTAAAGCTTCCAGGATGCTCATTTTCATTTGCTGATGTAGCATGACTCAAAATGAGAAGAAACAGCTGCAAACAGTCTTTAATAATCAGAACATGGACTGTGAAGAATGAATCTAGGAAAAATGGGATTAGTCAAAACGTGAAATGGAACACATAAAGATTGATATTCTAGGCATTATTAAACTGAAATGGACTGGTATTTGTTATTTTTAATTGGATAATCATATGCCCTGCCATTCTGGGAATGGCATATTGAAGAGGAATGGTGTCACATTCATTGTCAAAAAGAACATTTCAAGATCTATCCTGAAGTACAATGCTGTCAGTGATAGGATAATATCCATATGCCTACAAAGAAGGCCAGTTATTATTATTATTATTATTATTATTATTATTATCCACATTTACACATCAACCAGTAATGCCAAAGATGAAGAAACTGAAGATTTTTTTACCAATTTCTACAGGCTGAAAATGACCAAATATGTAGCCACTGATAATTACTGGTAATTGAAATGCAAAAGTTGGAAAAGTAGAAACATCAGTAGTTGGAAGATATGGGCTTGGTGATAGAAATGATGACAGTGTTCACATGCTACAATTTCTCAACATCAATGACTTATTGATCACAAATATCCTGTTCCAACAATATAAACAATAACTACGCATGAACCTCACCAGATGGAATAGACAGGAATCAAAACAACTACAGCTGTGGAAAGAGATGATGGAGAAGCTCAATATCTTCAGTCAGGAAAAGGCAAGGAGCTAACTACAGAACAATCCATCAATTGCTCACATGCAAGTTCAAATTGAAGCTGAAGAAGACTAAGAAAGTCCCTAAGAGCCACAGTATAACCTTAAGTGTATCCCAACTGGATTTATAGACCTTTTCAAAAACAGATTTGATGCATTAAACACAAATGACTGAAGACCAAATGGGGTATAGGATGACATAAAGGATATCATACATAAAAAAAAGTAAAAGGTCATTAAAAAGACAGGAAAGAAAAAGGGACCAAAAATGGATGTCAGAAGAGACTCTTCAATTTGCTCTTAAACTCCAAGTAGCTAAAGTGAGTGGAAGAAATGATGAAGTAAGAGCTTGAACAGATTTAAAAGTGCAGCTCAAGAAGACAAATTAAAGTATTATAATGAAATGGGCAAAACTTGGAGTTAGAAAACCAAAAGGCAAGATCATACTTTGTATTTCTCAAGCTGAAAGAACTGAAGAAAAAATTCAAGTCTTGAGTTGTAATGTTGAAGGATTCTAAGGGCCAAATACTGAATGATTAAAGAAGCATCAAAAGAAGATGGAAGGAATACAGTCACTGTACCAAAAATAATTGGTCAATGTTCAACCATTTCAGGAGGTAGCATATGATCAAGAATGGATGATATTGAAAGAAGACGTTTAAGCTACACTGAAAGTAACAGTAAAACACAAGGCCCCAGGAATTGAAGAAACACCAGCTGAGATGTTTCAACAAATAGATGCAAAGCTGGAAGTGTTCACTCATCTTTGCCAAGACATTTAGAAGACAGCTATCTGCCAATCAACTGAAGGGAATCCATATGAGCATTTTCCAAAGAAAAGTGATCCAATAGAATGCAGAAATTATTAGAACATCATGCAAATAAAATTTTGCTGAAGATAATTCAAACATGGAACAGAGGAACATTAGAAGGGTATGCCAGAAATTCAAGTTAAATTCAGAAGTGGACATAGAATGAGGATAGTCTTTTTATAAATGAAATAGTATTGCTGAAGTCAGCTGGATCTTGGCTGAAAACAGAGAATACCAGAAAGATGTTTATCTGTTTTTTAATGACTAAGCAAAGTCATTTGACTCATGGCCCATAACAAATTATGGATAACATTGCAAAGAATGGGAATTCCAGAACTCTTAACTGTGCTCATGAGGAATCTATACCAAGAGGCAGTCTTTCAAACAAAACAAGGAGATTTGGAATGTTTTAAAATCAGAAAAAATTTGTGTCTAGATTGAATCCTTTCACCACACTTATTCAATCTGTATGCTGAGCAAATTGTCCAAGAAGCTGGACTATATGAAGAACAATGCAGTATAAAGATTGGAGGAAGACTCGTTAACGATCTGTGATATGCAGAAGAAACAACCTTGCTTGCTGAAAATGAAAAAGACTTAAAGCACTTACTGATGAAGATCAAAGACTGTAGTCCTCAGTATGGATTGCACCTCACTTTAAAAATAAACAAAAATTCTCACCACTGGACCAAAAAGCAACATCTTGATAAATGGAGAAAAGTTTGAAGTTGTCAGGGATTTCATTTTACTCAGATCAATAATCAACACCCATGGAAGCAGCAGTCAAGAAATCAAACATTGTATTGCATTGAGCAAATCTGCTACAAAAGAACTCCTTAGAGTGTTAAGGAGCAAAGATGTTACTTTGCATCAAAAGAAGATGGAAGGAATACAGTCATTGTACCAAAAATAATTGGTCAATGTTCAACCATTTTGGGAGGTAGCATATGATCAAGAATGGATGGAATTGAAGATTAAGGTGCACCTGCTCCAAGTCATGGTATAATAAGTCATTTCATATGCATAGCAAAAGCATGCAATGAACATGCAATGAATATGAAGACCAAAAATTGATGCCTTTGAATTAGGTGTTGGTAAAGAATATTGAATGAATATGCCATGGATTGCCAGCAGAACAAACAAATCTGTACAGCTAGAATGCTTCTTAGAAGTGAGGATGCCAAGACTTTGTTTCCTATACTTTGGCCATATTATCAGGAGGGATTGGTCCCTGGAAAAAGAGTTTATACTTGGAAAAGTAGAGGGTCAACAAGATGGATTGCCACAATGGAAAAATGTACTCAGGCATAGTAGCAACTGAGAGGGTGGCCCAGGACTGAGCAGTGTTTCATTCTGTTGTACATAGGTTCATTAGGAGTTGGAACCACCTAACGAAACTGGCCAATGGCCAACACTGTTCCAGAAGTGTCCTCCATTAGTAAGATATATGAGGTGCAGAGTAGGGCAGGGGAAATGCTAGACCCTGGAGACAAGATAACCCTATTTTATCTATATGCCTCCTTTCCAAGTCTCATCTCCATTCTTACCCTTCTCCATTCTCTTGAACCCCTGTGTACTTCCTGGGCCTCTGTTCTGAGAACAAATAGAAAAAATTTGGAATGGTGCACAAAAGTGGAAAAATCAAAATGTTAAATCTCCCAGTCATTACCCAAATGAAGTTTATTCATGACATAAATTTGAGTTTACTCTGTTTTAAAAGTAATATGTTCATCAGAGAACATATTACAGAAATAGAAGAAAAACAGGGACTTCTGGTAAGATGGACGAATAGGCAGACAAGTGACACAGACCCTCTTCAACAAAGAAAAGAAAAATCAATTGACAGAGATACAAAAGATAATCCTGGAACCCTGAGCTTTGAAAGGAACTATACAGAGGTGGATTAGGCACCAACTAGTGGAAAACCTGAACAAAAACAGTGAGTACAGAGACAGCTGGAGCTGCAGACTGTCAGCTACTCTGATGAGACCAACAGCCTGAATATTTCCAAGTGGTGTTGGGACCTGAGAATTGACCTAAAGATCAGTCCTGGTCATCAAGGTCTGCAGGGACAACTGCTCTGGTGGCCTATGACTAGGAAGGGAAAGAGCACAGAGGGAGACTACCTGAGCTGTGGACTTCCTGCTGTCCAGAGGGCACAGCCATTTTGATTGTTTACACGTGGCAGCCATTTTGGATATTTAAAGTGACTGAGGGTGCAGACATTTTGAATATTTATAAGTGGCAACCATTTTGGATTTTAAACTGATAGCATTCTCATTCAGATTCCAGGGTCCTAAGAACAGGCTCTGTTTGCCAGGGGCAGCAAGGACATACAAGAGGCTGACAACAGGAAAGGAGACAGGTAGTGAGTGTGTAAGTGCTGTCAACTACTGACTAGAGGAGCACAGCACAGTATCCTGCCTGTATAGATAACATACAAACAAAACAAAGAAAATGAAAATTGTGGACAAATCATTCCAACATATAATCACCAATTAAATATAAACACAAAAACGCCACAATGCCTCAGAGGCAACAGAGCATCACAGTCCACACAAAGAAACAAGATAAAGCAGGAGAAACAAGGGACCAGGATACAGACCCAAAACATATCCCTGAGGAAGATGCAGCATTGGAACTCCCGGATAAAGAATTCAAAAGAATTATATTAGGTAACTTCAAAGGATTGAGAGACAGACCAACGAAAACACAGAAAAAAACCCTAGAAGAATTTTGGAAGAAAATACAGGAACAAAATGACAAAATAAATGAAAAATTAGAAATGATTCTAATTCTACAGATAGAAATTCAGAAGATTAAGACTAAATTGTCAGAAATAGATAACACATTGAAAGGACAAAGGAGTAGAATTGATGCAATGGAAGAGAGAATTAATGAGATTGAAGACAAACACCTGAATACTTCTTTGGAAAGGGATCAATCAGGAAGAAGATCAAAACAAAATGAAGAAAGCATAAGGTTCATGTGAGATACCATCAAAAGCAATAATCTACGAGTCATTGGAACTCCAGAACAGGAAGAGAAATATAA